ACCTTGACCAACTAGAACCTGGTTGGGTGTTGGGGTCAATCTTGAACCTCAATCCCATCCTTGACCTCACCTGGGTGACCCCAACCCTCACCTTGACCAACCAGATCCTGGTTGGGTTTTGGGGTCAACCTTGGACCTCAACCCCAACCTTGACCTCCCATTGACCTCACCTGGGTGACCCCTGACCCCATCCCTTGACCCCTGTCCTTGTGCCTCAACCTCCCACTGACCTCACCTGGCCTGACCTCACCTGGCTGACCCCTGACCTTTGCTCCCTGCCCCCCCCAGACTCATCAACAAGCTCCAACCCGGCTCAGTGCCCAAGGTCAACGAACCAGGACAGAACTGGCACAAGGTGAGTTGAAGACATCTCCAGATCAGCTCTTGGTGGTGGTGGTGGTGGTGGTGGGAGGTTGGAGAAGGTCCTGGTGGTCTCCAGAGGTCAACTCCACCTTCCAATGTCCCCTGGGAGCAGCTGGAGAACATTGGGAACTTCTTGAGAGCCATCACACGTTACGGGGTGAAACCCCACGACATCTTCGAGGCCAACGACCTCTTCGAGAACACCAACCACACGCAGGTGCAGTCAACCCTCATCGCCTTGGCCAGCCAGGTGACCACCTCAGGGGGGTGGGATGAGCTCCTGGATGGGGGGGAGAAGGTCCTGGGGAGGTTCAAGGTGGATGGGAGAAGATCCAGAAGGTCTGGGAGGTTCCGGTGGGTCTTGGCGTCCTCTCGGAGGACGTCAACCCAACGTAGGTGTGATGATCTCCTCGGGCCTAGCAGCCAGGTGAGGACATCACCAAGAGGTGGGAAGAGGTCCTGAGGTCCTTGAATGTTGGGATGTTGGGATGGAGATCCCTCCATTGAGGTCCTGAGGTCATTGAAGGATCTTCTGGAGGGTCATCTGGGTGGGCCTGGAGATGTTCCTCAAGAGGTTCCTCAGGTCTCCTTGGAGAACATCAACCTCCATGGGACGTTGGGATGGAGATTCCTCCATGGGATGTTGGGATGGAGATTCCTCCATCGGAGATGGAGATTCCTCCATCCCTCACCCAATTTCCCTCACCCAAGAGTTGATGTTCCCTCACCTGGAGGAGGTTGAGTTGGAGGTCCCTCCTGACCTTCTCGAGATCTTCTCCAGGCCAAGACCAAAGGGAACAACGTTGCTCTGGGGGTGAAATACGCCGAGAAGCAGCAGAGACGTTTCCACCCCGAGAAGCTGCGAGAGGGGAGGAACATCATCGGCCTCCAGGTGATACTTCGAGGGGGACACGGGAGGTGGAGGAGATCCCCGGGGCCACCTGAGGTCCAGTTGTGGCCACTGTGTGTCTCGTCCTCAGATGGGCACAAACAA